TCACCCTTCCCTAGTCCCCTGTGCCATCAGCCTCAAATGGGGGGGGGCACATGACACACCAGTTGTCCCTAAGGATCATAGATCTTATTAGTATGGGTACTCCAGCCAGATGCTGGCATATATGGTATGTGGTAACTGGACAGATTCTCGTCATTTTGGGAAGAATTACCGGATAATGATTAAAGGAGGCGGAGTCCCATTTTAATAATAAAAAAAATAAAATTATAAATCCTTAGGACCATTTATTTGAAACTGAACTGTATAAAAAACACTCTTACAACACAATCAGAATAACCTCCATAAGTACCTAAAAACTGGATGGTCACAATATACACCATAGGTACCAGTAAGTGTCTAATACCACAGAGAGAACACATAACTGTCCGCACAGTCAGACCAGGAGCTATGGGGACAGTAACAGGGACCTGACACGGCAGATATGATTTGCACTCTAAGTAACTACAGTATGTCAATAAACAATTGAATGGATCAGAAAGTGTCTTGTTATGGCCACAGCTAAACCCTCAAGTCTGTTCCCTTTAGAGAGCACCTTCTTACCAGGTAAAAAGGTGAAGAATATTCTAATTAATTTTTTGTTTTTAGATTCCAGTCACAAGATCTAAGGTTACAACCACTAGAGTTATTGTTACTGTCTTTGCACTACAATGTTGCTTTCTCAATCAAAGGTTATAAAATAATCCTTCAAACATAGTTACATTAATCCTAATGAGATAAAATAAAACCCATGTAAAGTACAATACCCTGCAGTCTATTTTCCAGAAAGATTAAAAAATTCCAGTTCAATACATAAATGTGAATCATTAATTAAAAAAGATACACATAAGCAATGATAAATAACAGAAATTTTGAACTAATCCTGATATCCTGGATCATAGCCGAGCACAATCTGGGTGACTCCATTTGCAGAGAACTGTACGCCACCCATTTTTTTCTATACATGAGGTAAGAAGTAAGTTTTCTTCTATAAAAAATTTCCCTAAAGTGGCTCCTTTTGATGAGTCTGATATCTAAAGTATTTCCCCAACATTAAAGCATAACACAGTACTGTTATAATGTCAAAAGAAGAGTTTACAACTCCAAAATCCCCACTTCATACTGCATAGGACCAATATTCCATTTATGAAACACTGAAATGCATTATATCTAAGAGTGATAACAGAATTACAATGACCGAGAGTTTCTAAATGACTTAACTCTTAAATATGTAAAAGTGGAAGGCAAGGAACATAAAATACCTATAGACGATGACTGCCGTAAAAAGATTAAAATCACAATAAGCAAGGTATCCAACTCCCAAACTGTATCCAATCATATTTTACACACTGAACTGTACTGTATTTAAGTTTTAGCAATTATTATATTAATACGTATACAAAACATGGATGGCTATAACCATTTTCAGGTGGTTGGTAAGCATAATTTGCCTCATTATTTTCAGTACGGTACTGTACTATAACGCTTTCACAGCTACTTTTATGAAATTTGACTTAAATATGGATACATTATTCCAAACATCTGTAACAGCTTTTTACATGGTTTGTTTCTAACCTCCTATTGTCTCTCTGCTCCTTAGATTTTTATCTTATTTTTACCTTATTTACCTAATGGCTACCCTCCAGAGGTGGCCATGCCGAGGGAAGGGGCCGACTGGCCTGTGTAAGATCCGGGTTAGGGTAATCTCGTACCCAAGACAACTCGTACCAAAGATAAATCATACCCAAGATTATTTACACCCAATTCAAGAGATAATCCATACCTATTAGTATATATATACCATGCATTTTAGCTTTATCTATGACGAAAAAAATTATTATGTAAAATATATACAGTATTTATATATATACCGGTAAGTACGAATTGTCTCGTCAATTGGGTACGCGTTATTTCGTAATTGGGTACGAGTTGACATGTTCTGATGGGTACGATTTGCTTGGGTATGAATTGTCCAGCACTCGTAAGATCCCTCCATTGTTATTGGAAATTTTATCGAGGCCTTTTCTGAACCCCAGATCTGTTCTTGATTCCATAGCTTGGGCTGGCAGACTGTTCCATAGGTTTAAATTAGCATTCTAAGATGAAAGAGACTGAAGATATACTGGGTATATATTTGTCAAGAGTACCAGTAAAATTTTAGTTTCGTTGATCCCTGTATTTAGATATCCAACCTAACCTAACCTAATATAACCAAACCCAACCTAACCTACTCACAGAACCCAGGAACTATATCTAACCTAACCGGGGAACGAATCCCCCAGACCCCCCCCCCCTCTGGTAAGGGTTAAATTCCTAAGATTCCCCGGATGACCGAAACTAAAATAAACAAAAACAACAATATTTGGTATTAGAGTTAAGAATAAGGTCGGGTTAACCTAACTTTACTTTACTTTTACCCGTTTTGCCACTGATTGGCCCATTAGCTGCATGGGTGGTCAGTCACGTCTCTGTTATGCACTGTCGGCAAGTACTGGGCATCTACTGGCTCCAGAATGTATCTGAGCCTGCTCCAGTGTTGGTCAAGTCTGGTCTTGAAAGAGCTCACTAAAAATATCAATAGAAAAGAATTTATTTCTTACCTCAAGAAAAAAGCAAATCAGATGGATGAAGAGCACTTTTTATATAATTTTTTTCCTAGTATTTCCAAATATTCTGACAAAGTTTCAGAAGAAAATTCCTATTAATAATTCAGTGGTTCCCACTACCGTTACAATCTCACCATTAAGCATACCAATACCAAAATATGCTTCTCTTAATAAATCAAGCTGCCATAAGAACAAAGAGAATTTCTCTAGGTCCTCCTGGACAGCCTTGTGCAACAACTAATAATCAAAACACATAAACACAAACTACAGGAGCTCAAGGTCTGTCATTTGTTACAAGGGCAGACGAGAACAGTTTTTGAATATAAGAATTCAATTTAAACTATCGAATTTGTCTTTCTTTGCACAACAGTTCCAACGGCAGTGATTATGGTAGAGGTCAACCAGCTAAACCTCTACAGGACAAACGTCATTTTCACACAGACAACTGGTAACAGATGCATTTTTCATTGTGACACCATCACAATGCAACGGAATTTGTGCAATATATACGTAATATCGCCATATTAATGAGAAATCGTTAAAAAAAAGGACAAAAACGTACAAAGTCCTACCTTAAAGAGATGGGCGTTGGATAGTTTGACGAAGTTTTGTTTGCACTAAAACCTTAAAAATCCCAAACAGTTTACAGTTCCCCGAGACAGTCGTCACCAGCAGAACAACACAGGCTGTCACATCTTCCTCGGCGCCAGCTGGAGGTTTAATGGTGACGTCATAAAAATAAACGTCATTGATGGTCATTCAAGTACGTGATTGTTTTACTGTGAACTTTGTCATGAACACATATGCTATTGAAAGACAAACCTAATGTTAGGAACCTATCAACTGAAGAAATGATAAAATCCCTTATGTTTACAAGCAGAATGAATCAGCACAGTTCTATTACAATAACATTAATAACACAGGCACTGAATAATAGAAGGGAAATCTTGCGAAGTGAAAAGACATTACAACCTAGAACTAACACAAACATTAGCAAAACACTCATACACTACTAAAATTACCATTATACAAAACAACAAACATGAGGTCATCAGATAGAACAGGAGAGGATTCGGGTTTCGCCACTATTCCATGACTCCTGACCCATCATTTATAGACCAGTGTAACAACTTCACTTTACTAAGGATTCTAATAGAGAATTAGAGTCCTTAATTTTATTTTATCCTCTTCACCACTAATCGGCTTGTTAGTCACTTGGGCAATCCGGTCACGCCTGTTATGCAGTGTTGGTAAATGACGTTAACATTATGTAACCTTAATATAACCTTACATGAGATGACTTTAACCAAACCCAACCAATTGTACGGTTACTTCATGGTTAAATATTTTAATGGCCAAGGTCTGGGATAAAATTAAACAGATCACTTGAAGATTGGGCCCCCTAGCTTATATCCACTTTGACCTATATATTTACCCTCCATAAACGATGAAATATGAAGTATGTATCATACTCATGGTTTTAAAATATTGTTATTAAAATGCAGTATCCAATAAAAAGTGCCCTTCCAGAGCTGCCCCGCCCCCTCTCTCCCCTCGACCTCCAGGCTCCCCCGTCGACGTTAACATGTGCCAGTGATCACATTGACATGTCAAGACGTCATTATCTTCGTTGACCATTATATTAATGCCCTATTAACGTGATTATCATTGCCAGTTCACAACAATTTATACATGTCAAGATTGTTTTATTGTTAATAAATTGGTATGGTATTTATAATTTTCATTCCTACTTTGTTCATCAGAAAAATCCATGAATTTTCGGAGCAATTGCCCTTGCCCGTTTGTCAGTCAAATCAGCTTTTAATCTATTAATAGTAATTTGCTAGATATAGAGATAGATTTATCAGACATCACACAGTAAGAATACTGGAATACAGAACTTTGTCTGTATATTGTTTACTGTGTCAATCCATCTCATATTAGTGTTGATTGGTGTTACAAAAGTTGATATCAGCATGAAGTGTTCACCTAATTAAACTGATTGAATACAACCACTCAATGTAATGTACTGTACATACACAAACCTATAATACACTATGAATCATGACGTCATGTAGGAGTCTCCTGCCAGCGCTCATGAAACAGTTAACATCAACAACACAAGTCTTCATACACAATACAGATTCAAAACTCCATTTAAACACATGTATATTTGTTAGATAGGATAGTATTAGTAAAATAGTGTTGTTTCAGTATAATTAAATTATCTAGATATATTTGCTTATTTATAAAGCTATATTTTTTATAAATAATTTACAAAGGTATAATTTTGTTTAGTTGTGAACTCGGTGGGATGTTGCTCTACAATGTTGAGAAATATAGCAAGTCGTGAGTTATTTGGTGTGTCTGCTTATAAATGTGGCTCTAGTACACCAACAGTAATCCCCTAATGGTACAATAAGTGATTTGCAGTAAGATGAATGTCAGATGAGACTATAAAGAGAAAGTGATACGGGGTAGTGAAATATGTGAATATCATTTGGCTCATTCACTATAGTACAGTATTGTATTAGGTACGGTAAGCATTTACTATGCTCGTTTGTATCGTCTCTCTATTAATGTCTAGAACATCTGGTACGTAAATCAATGAATAATGTGAGTTCATTTGAGATGTATGTAAGTTATATGTTATTACTTGTTCCAAGGAACACACTGTAATACTGTACACTGTATGGTGACGGATACACATCAAAGTGGAAAATAGAACGAAAGCCTAATGTATTTATTGTTTTTAGGGATCATGCAAGTAAACAGTATGCCCCCATAACTCCCACGGGACCCTATTTCCTAAGAATATACCCAGGGAGTCTGTGGCTAGAATGACTTGATTACCTTTATGTTGTGGGGTTAAACCTAAGGCTGCTACCAGCTCTCCCAGATTTTTAGTCAGGAATGGAGTCCATTTGGCAACCACAGAATTTATCATAGGAACCATCCACCTCGTGAGAATGATCTGCCAAACAGCAATAGTTAACAGCACCTGCCTGGTTCATCTTGGATATCGTGGTGAAGCTCTTATCATGGGGGGAACTGTGTTGCCAGTGTGTAAATATCAGTCTGTATGATGGGGAGTTAAATAAAACTTAACGTAACATCCCATCGAATGGAGAACAAATGTATACTATAGAATTTTGGCAAACTATTAAAACTGGAAGCAAAGTTTATTTAACCCCGCTTAATACTGTATTACTGTGGCTCCCAGTTTTATAAATGAATAATATTTCTTTCTGTAAATGAAAATAATCTTGGTTTTGAATTGTGATGGTGCTTAAATCAGCAACAACATACCTTCAGCTTGTGTGATACCAATTCTTTCATTTACACCTATAAGGAGTTGCCAGATGAATGTTGCGGTAAAATTTTAGTTTCGGTCATCCTTGTATTTAGATACCCAAACTGTGATTTCTGACAGGAATGAAGGTCCAAATCATTCAAAACACAAAAAACCACTGGAAAGACATAGTTTGGATATCTAACCTAACCTAACTCCTAAGATTCCCCGGACGACCAAAACTAAAATATTACCAGAGTTGCCATAAATAATACAAATGTGATATTGCCTTAATACGTATTGTCCAAACGATGAGTCTACATTTTATTTTTCAGGACTGTGATTCTGCGTAATAAGGATTCAACGTACCACTATCACAAGGAATGATTATGTTATATGGATTTAAGACCTGGTGCTCGTGTTGAATGTTACTTCCTTGTAAAAGCAATGGAGTGATATTAACAGATAATTTTTTCACTAAAGTTAGTAACTATTAGTCAAGATGGAACAAGAAACTTCTAATCATTTAGAAAATTCAAATGTTATAAGTGAGATGCTTGGGGACGAGCGGACAGACAAAATAGACACTAAATTAGGTCAGGTAGAGGCCACGAAGAAAGATGTGATTGAAGCGGAACAGTTTACCGAGCCTGAGATATTAAACCTGGCAGTAAATAATGTTGGTGCCAACACAGAGGAAGATAATAATTCTATTGACAGCACAGACAAGTGTTTAGGAAAGCAGAAGATGGAACAGATAATTGTATCATCATCTGAGGAGGAAACATCTGGTACACCTGAAGTAAGTATTCTGGCAGGGCCGGTTCTACCCTTTTGGGGGCCCTAAGCAGGATTTTGTTTTGGGGCCAACCTAATGTAGCCTACTAGTCTGCCTCCACTCTACCTTGAGGCATTCGAACCCATATAAGCTTAACTAATATATTTAAGGACATCAGTATTGTATTTAATGGCACACATTAATTATACAAATAGACACCAAATGATATGTTAGTGGCAAAGTTTTATTTCATTAACAACAGACAGTCAAAACAAGGACAGTCTTTGAATATTGTTTTGTGGAATGTGCATGGCCAAAACTAAACATAAATAATAATAGTAAAATTAGATATTGAAATTATATAATATGGTTCAGAATCTGTGTTTTCTTGCCTTCCTGGTGGCAAAGTCTTCTATAACTTCACCATAAGACAACTGACTGCTAACTTTATAATTGATGCTTATGAAGGCTAATCCACTGAGGTGGTCTTGAGACATGATGGACCTCAAATAAGTTTTTATGAGCTTAAGCTAGGAACACTGCACTCTGCTGACACCACCATAACTGGGAGTGTTAGCTATTCTTAAGGCTAGGGTACAGCTGTTATAGCTAATTTTTGTGGATGAAACTGAACAGCTCCAATGCCGTTCATGTCATGTTTTAGGCTTAGAAGGTTCTGGATTTCCATTACCAGGTCTCTAGTTAATAACAGCTTCATCTCTGCAAGTGAGAGTTTTCCCAAACATCTCGCATTGCTCTCTCAGTGCATCTTCATCCATATTTTGAAAGTTTAGAAGCGCTTCAAACTTATTTCTCACTTCCTCAAGAGTCATGAATTGCTCGTGCAGAGATCTAATGGCACAGTCCACCACCACCACATTAAAGAATGTGATTTCCAGCCTCTTCAATGCATCTGTAATTGGCTCATGTGCAGCTTCATAGGCAAACTATTTTTTTGGTGCTCCTCAGCCTCTTCTCTTTGAACACTGCTTCCACTTGCATCTCTTCACACACTTCTTTTGCAGTGGCCATGGGGTATTAGTATTGTACCTGCAATTTGTAATTATAATTGATGGTAATTAATCTAGTTTTTAATTTTGTAATTTATGAGTGCAGTTCAAGGCTTACTGTGGCTGTGAAATTATAAATTGTGAAAAAGAAGAAGATAAGTTTAAAGTTACCATGAAACATCTTATGGCAGAATTATTTTGTAGTGAGAGAATGTGCTGTTGATTGTGTTTATGTTCCTGAAAAAATGCAGTAGACAGACACCACTATTCAGAAGGCTGTGGCTGTTGTTTGGCCAAGGTAATACTGTACATAATTCATGGTGGCTACTTGTACAGCCCTAAAATTTCTCTTCAAGTTTCTTGCTTGTTTTAAAGAAATCATTATGGCATATGTTAGTTATACACTCAGTCCTCCTAATTCAATATGTTTGAGTCTGAATTGAGCATTAATATTGAAAACTTATGGGCCACTGTAGTATACTGTATGTACTAATCATTTCTTATATTCTGTATATAGAAAACAGTTAAGAGAAGGAAGAAAAGGCCCAAACCAAAGAATCAAGTCACAATGGACAGACAGAAAAAAATGCAACAAATTCAGGATGTGTTGTCTTCCACTCCACTAGATTTAGAAGCACTTCGAGAACTTGCCATTGGAGACGGGGGTCTTGTCAAAGGTAAGACATATGGAGTAAACTTACAACCATTTTTTATATGTGATTACATTATGACTTTTGATATTTTAAAGTTTTTATCATAGCAACATACTTTATTAGTTAATATTAGGTATTGGATAACTGTGGGAATTTTTGTAATGTGAACTGTTAACTGTTTTCCTCCAGATGAGCTCCGTCGTAAAGCCTGGCCGCGCCTTATGATGATAGAGCACATGGAAGTGACTCCAAAACCTGCTCTGGATGTTGTTAAAGCCCATAAAGATTATCAGCAGGTGGTGCTTGATGTTAAAAGATCTCTCAAGCGCTTTCCTCCTGGCATTGATGATGACTATAGAATCATATTGATGGATCAGCTTACAGTACTTATTATTAGGGTACTGATGAAGCATCCTGATCTCAATTATTATCAGGCAAGGCATTATATGCTGTTTATAAAGTAAAACCCACAAAAGTAAACTTGTGAAGATGTATGTTGAATACCACAACACCTTTTGGTATAAATAATGTAAGAAAATAGCAAAAATGATGAAAATAATATACAGTATTGTATCCTAAAATTCATTAGTGATATGTGTAAATTGACTTTTTTAACGGAATTGAGAATATTGAAAAAAAAATTAAGATTCTTATTTTTAACACGTGTACAGTAATTGTCTGCTCATATGTGGTATATCATAGCTGGGTTAATGTGCATTATCTATTGTATAATATTGTTTTTAAATATAATATTATCCATAGGGATTCCATGATGTGGCAATTACATTCCTGCTTGTGATGGGTGAGGATGTGGGCTTCGAGATGGTGGAGACACTGTCCATAACCCACCTGAGTGAGTTCATGCGGCCCACCATGGAGAAGACCACGTACTACCTCACCTACCTCTACCCTATCCTTCACAGAGCCAACGAAAAACTCTACCAGTTTCTCATAGAGTAAGTTTATTCATTTTATAACTCTCATCTTGTTTTGAGCTTTGGATCTCACAACAGTAGTGACTCGCCTCCATGCAGCGTAAGTAAAGTTTATGCTCAAGATTTAAAGACCAGATGTCCAGCAGTTATGTAGTGTGTTTTACCATTTGTTGTTCAGAATTTTTCCCTTTTGTTCTGGGCCCTGGACTAAATGCTTTACTCTAGAGCTGACTACCGGTACCCCATTAATTTGATTCTGAGTTTTATCAAAGGTCTGTAACAATTTGAATTATCTAATGGTACTACAGTACTGTAATAAATTGTATGATAAGTACGGTACCACAATTTTATCAGCACACTGAATTTGGTTTGGAAATATACAGTCACAGATAAACTACTTTCAATGTGTCTTGTAGCACAACTGTACTCATACAGACATTCAGATCATGTCACAATGCTTCAGTCTTCTATCCCATGTTTTAGTAAGCAAGGCACACCAAAGTGTTACTTATATGCATGATTTTGGGCCTTTATGTATGTTTATGTTGTTTGCATCAGAACTTGCTTGTGTTTAGTAAGTACAGTAAATAAACCTTTTAAGTATTGTTTGGTGAATTTTTGCACTTCCAGTCCTTAACCTCTTCTTAGGTATTGAATTACATATGTTTTTGTACAGTTTTTCTTTTTTAGTTATGTAACATTCTTGGTCCCTGTCTCGTAAAATAATCTGAGGCTACTGTATTATTGTTAATACTGTATCATCATCATTATTATTAGTACAATATTATTATTTTTATCATTATCATCCTTCATCCTTTTTTTGCCTTCTCGCTGGGGTTTGTGCCATTATTTATTTGCTGTAATTTCCCCATTCAGCTTTGTATACTGTGTATTCCACATTATGTTTACCCAGAGATTTATATGATTTCTGAATTACTTTCTGCTTATTGATGATATAAACTTTGAACAATTTCAGCTCTGGTGTAGGGACAGTATTCTGCTTACCATGGCTCATTACCTGGTTTGCTCACACCCTTTCTGACTACCGAAATGTGGTCAGGTTATACGACTTCTTTTTGGCATCACCATACCTCATGCCTATGTACATAGCAGCAGCTATTGTGTTATTGAAGAAGGAAGACGTCCTGGCAGGAGAGTGTGAGATGTCCACGCAGCATTTTATTTTATCACAGGTAAGACAGCTATACTGTATAAAGTGTAGATCTGTATAAGGGATCTCCGGGTTACGAACGGGTTCCGTTCCTTAGGACATTCGTTAGTCAGATTTCTACATAAGTCGGAACACCTGCTATTTGCATACTGTACTTACAGAACAATGTTTAAAATCCCACTATATCATAGCCTAAGTCCTTATATACCGGGTACATCTAAAATCACTTAATTTAAGACAAAAGAAGAAATAGAATAATATAATACAGTAAATGAAAGTAAGAAATAAGTCATCAGGTAAATAAAATACTGTACTGTAAATTTCAAGTTTCACCCCGTTCGTATCGGCGAGCGTTCATAAGTCAGGGACCTCCTGTATATTGTATTTGGTCTTGGTGTGTCTGTAAGCCTCAAATAAGCTGTATTTCCAGTTATCACCCTTAAATTAGGTGACTTTTAATACAGGAAAACTTACTGGGAGGTCCTTAGACATGAGCACCTCCACCCAACCAGTGTTGATCTGTTTGTCTATTTGGATATTCTGATCACTCTTTCCTGTCCATCATACCACCAGTTTCAACATAATGGTTCATGTCTGAGGCACACATGGTTGATTCAGAGTTGAATGTGTACCAGGGTTTAGTGTGTTTTTCTGCTGCTATTAGTAGGATGTTAGGCCTCTTGGACCTGATTTTGCTTTCATTGCTTTGATTTAAACAGTACAGTGTTTGAACCTTCACATAGGATATTGTTTTGCTCATATCATAGTTATTTATTTGTATTAAAATGGTGGAGTGCAGTTTATTGGTCTTTATGGTTAATTGTAGCAATGAGAGTTGGTTTGCCCACTAATGTTTGGTAGGGGTTAACTGTGAGTAGCACGTCTAAGAGGTTTTGTACAAGGAAGCCCAGTACTTTGACTCAGAGGTTCCAAGATGAAGTGGATTGTTGAGAGTTAAACTGCTGACTGAGAGACATTTCAGGGCATGTTACTGGATGCCTACGAAGGTTCCTGGTGTGACTGGATGAAGAGATGTTTTGGCAGCAGTTGCATTACAGTACAGTACAGTACAGTACAGTACTTAAATATTGTGTCATGTTGTTGAACTATTGTATCTTGTAACATGGACAAAATATCATTGGATATTCAATGAGCTGGATCTTGAAAGTCATCTGAAGGGCTGTTGACCATAAATAAATGTAGGCATAGGTTTCAAGTTAAAAGTACTGTGCTGTACTTGATAACATTAGTGATTTCTCTGTATTAATTTAGATATTCCTCATATACAGGATATGTTTACTGTTGGTAAGATGGTTTTTCTTCTATTTTTGAGGAAGTATTGTGATGGGACATTAATGTTGATTATTTAATTGGAACAGGTACCAGATTCCCTTCCATTTGAAGACATTTTGGTTGCGGCCAGAAAGTTGTACGAGGAGTATCCCCCAGACACACTGCAGGAGGAGGTAGAGGAGTATCTAAAGAAAAAGTAAGTAACGTGCAATACACATTAAGTCTGGTAGCTGAAACAAAGACACACTACATTGCCTGTGGATAAATGCAAGCTTTTTATGCCTGTTTGGAAAGTTTGAAAGAGTATACAGTATACAGTATAGGAATTCTCAAGGAATTTGAAAGTGAATGATGAACTAGAGAGAGTTCATAAATGATTCACTAAATGTTGAACTAAGAGATAATTTATTCATATGATTGTTTTTGTTAAGCTTTCCTGAAAAGATAAATCAAGAAAAGGCTGGATAAGTGAAGTAAGGTGATAAATAAGAGAGATGTAAAATAGAATTAGGTAGGGATCAATCCTTCTTTACCTTGTTCTGTAAAAGACAACCCTAACAGATAATCAGATTGATTCAAAGAAGGGAATAAATATGTTTGCATTCTTATATTTTATCTTTTTACTCACAAAATGTAGTGGATAAAATTCACAAACTAAATAATATGTTGAAATGGGTCAAGACTGTGTGCTTGTTTAGTCATTTAAATTTGACTTTAATTAAAAAAAAAATTATGGGAAGAGTGTTTTCATTATTTTTATTGCTGGTTTAAAGCAAGTGACATAACTCTATTTCTTGCATTTCATTATTTCTTTCCAGTAGATGCTGATCAGAGATTAAGAAGTTAGGAAAAGATGGAGAGAACAGTGTAGATATTAGACGGGGATGGAAGAGACAGTAGAAGTAGGTGTAGGTACAATAGAACCAATGATTAGGATGAGGGACAGTGGAGGAGAAGACATGAAGAAATAGAAAGTAAGGCAGTAAAAACAAACGGTAAATCAGGAAATATCAATGGTGTGGTAAGTGAAATTATTGAAAGTGGGGAGACATCATGATCGAACGGAAGTGGAAATATTTTATGGTTGCTGGGATAATCAAACAGGTACTAGAGGATTAGAGGAAAGTTGTTATTGGCACCTTGTATAATGTTTAGGGAGTTAAGGGGAAGTGTAATAATTGATGGGAGTTAGTCTTTTAAGTGTGATTTAAGTGGCTGGTCTAAAATCACAAGAGTGTGTCAGAGTTGTGTATTGTTACCCTCATTGTGTAAATTTTTAATGGTTGAATCAATATATATATATAAAGTGAAAGTAAGTATGTGTAACTGGGACTTCTGTAACATAGAGTGGAAGTTGTAGCATTTATGGTGTGTTGTGAGACAAGAATGAGAGCGATTTGGAGAGAATGGTATGATATTTTCATGAGGTTTTTAGGAGAAGAGCGTCAAAGATAACTGCTGGAAAGTGCAAAGTATAATAGCATTTGAAAGAGAAGGGCAGTTTGATTACACTGTCATGCAGTACACCATTGTAAAGAAAAAGGTAAATGTAGCTCTAGCAACTTAATATTAATGGGAAGATCTTGATTGTATATGTAGAAGGAGATTGCATAAAGTGGTTTCCCATCTTATATGTATGAATGAGAATCTCAGGTGTTTTAGAGTATATAGTGACAGATCGAGACTGAGAGTTCTAGAAATGGATAGTATGAGAAGCATTGTAGGTGTTCAGCGAATTGTTTAGAGTAGAAAAATTAAATTGTAACAAAAACTTGTGGTTCCAAAAAGACGGGAGAGTTAAATGGATGAGAGCACACTAAGTTGCCAGGTAGTAGGTAGCGACCAAACAGGGAGGTACTACCGCCTGGGAAAATATTGGAAGCATAATGTATTGTCTAATGGTAGACCCTGCTGCCATATGGCATCACGAAAATTGTGACAAAGTCCCAGGTTGCTGATCTGACTTTGTGCCTCATTTACACACAATTGCAGGGTCCCAATTGTTTCTCTTACCATTGACAACACATACTGTACATATATTGTTTCTCACTCTTGATAAAAAAATAATTTATTATTTCTTTATGGTTCTTTCTTATTATTATTATTATTATTATTATTATTATTATTATTATTATTATTATTATTATTATTATTATTATAATTACTATTATTAATATTTTTTAAATTTTTGCCCCCAGGCCCCAATGTGGGTCAGTGACTTGTGCCCGGCTGGGCTAATCCCTGTAAAAAAAAAAAAAAAAAAAGATGGTATAGACATAAGGCAGGTGGATGATTGGTCAGTAAGATATATGATAGCATGGGAGTAATAGGACGGCCATCAGAGAGATAGACTGACTATATAGGTGAATTTGTGAGGTCTACAGGTGTCATTAGATCATACTCAAAAACTGAATGTGGATTATGAACAGGGAGTAATTTTATGCGAGGTAATGGTAACATGGACAAGCCTGACAATTTTTTCTTAGAATGTGCAGTGAATTGTTTTGAAGCATTCTGTGTCATTCTGGATGTTAAAGGTTCAGTTTGTATAGCGTGTATGAAAACTAAGGATATGATGAAGTATGAGTAATATTTCTGCTCATTGCTGCTGCTTTAAACAGTTGCTCCACCCTCCCAGTTGTTATTTCCTTTTTAGGTTTCTGTACCCTTTAATCCACCTTACTCAGTGGTGGACGAGTAGGTGTGTCATGCGCCCATCCTTCCTCACCTCATTTTTATGAATTACCTGTATTATGATAATTTTTTCACACACTTTATTTTATCTCCTGCTACTTCTTATAACTGTAGTATTCTTGTTATGTAAAAAACTATTGAGAGAAGTATTTAACTTGAGTGGCTGTGAAATGATTTAAAGAAAAAAAGTATTTCCTGAAGTTTTCCCTTAGTTATTCCAGTTTGTATTTCTCCTTTCACAGGGCAGAGGAGGAGACTTTAGAGAAGCAGCGGTTAATTGAGAGGCGGAAGAAGTTTGACGCTAAGAAGCTTCCATACCGAAAGTTGATGGATGCAATCTCACATTATGTTCCATTCATTCCTGTTCAGAGACAAAAGTTAATAAAGATTGTGGCATTTGCTGCTACAGTCTTTCTTGCCAGAAGCCTTTATAACTATTGTTCCACACCAGCTGTAGAGTTCGTGGCTAACTGATGATATAGCTAGCATCTTATATATCGCATTCTTGTGTAATGCAGTTTCTGATAAAACTTGTTTATTTCATTTGCTGTCAAACAAAAAAAATCATACTGTATATAGATTTCATATTTATGAAGTACAGTACTCTTTATTTAGTAAGTTGTCAAAATTAACAATATGAATTATTAAAATCATCAAAAACATTTTCAGTAGTTCCACTTGATAACCACTGAGCGAGCATAAAGAAAAACAATCACTGTACCAGCAGCCAGATATGGAGAGTCTGTGAAGGATACATTGCTACCTAGTTTGATCTCCTATGAAATAACCAACAAAACGATGAAGTTTCGTAGAAGATTCTTTTTTTATGATTTTTTATGTTGAATGCAATACATTATGTGAATTAGTTTGTCTGGCAGTTACATTATTGCAGTAAACGGAAGACTTGTCATGTAGGAATGAAAGTTTTGGTTTTATTTTAGTCCAAATGATTTGGTAAATTTTAAAAGTAATTGAATATTGATGATAAACTTTTTCACCCCTTCCCTTTATGTATGATGATTTCCAGTGATATCCTGACATCACTAAAAGGTACAGGTACCTAGATTTTGATAAGTATTATGTAATTTATTTTTCTCTATAAGCATGGTTGGTGGTTATTTTTTTTTGGCTTTGGGAGGAAAGTTTTGGTATTAGTCATCACTTATGTATCTTGGTCTGTCCCTGCACTTGTCCTTCTGCAACTGATGATTGGCTTATTGATTTGTTGCGTCCATTTTAACCTTAACGTTAAAGTTAGTTTGACCTGCCAGTCGTATTCAGATTTGTGCAAATAAATACAATATTGCTATTTTTTCTAGTATACATATCAAGTAATTATCTGGTTCTGTATTTTTTAGGAATTATTAAATAGTATAAATTTTTTCTGGTGTAGCTCAAAATATTTTAACTCATACACCTACTTTTACTTTTTCTTATCTTTTACAGGTTTATTGTATATGCATTGTGTACAGGAATGCCTTTAGTTATAGCTTGCTAGTCATTGCTGCCACCACCTAGTCTTTCACTTTATTATCTGCTGGGGGAATCAATGGAAGACATGTAGATATATTTATATTATATTGGCTCTGTAGTTATTTATTATAAAGAGCATGATTATGTTTGATGTATATATCACTTTTATGAAATATTGTACAGATTTTTGCAGACATTATATCTTTTTATTTGGAATTTTACAGTAAACTGTACCATATAGATGCATGTCCAGTCGTTATGTACAATGTTCATGCTTCAGAATTTTATAAAATTTAATATGGAATAAAGTGGTTGTTACAGTTGTTGTGTATGATAATGCCACTGTAAGACAACAGAGCCCTGGATATTTCTGCAAGCTGACTAGGTGTTGAAAAACCTTTTTGTTATGCTTTGTAAAGTGTGGCTGCTGAAGCACCTTTTAAAAATTTATTATTCAGTGATATTTACTAACTGTACTTTGCAGGATCAAAGTAGGAGAATTGCTGACTCAATCAGGGTTAATGAAAGTGCCTGACATCCAGTTGTTTAATGTATATTAGCCCTAACTGAGTGTCCATTAATTGAAATATCTCTATTGTTGTTCTGTGCTTGTTCTACTCTCAGCTTTGCTATACGTACTGTACATCAGTTGTGTAGAGTTTACCACAAAGAATCTTTTAGGTCATATTGTTACACTGCAGGAGATTTCTAGTGATAGTTGGAATAAGATCTTGAATTAAATGACTATCTAAGATTCTGGAACTGTGTTGATCATATGCAATGGAAATTTAACCTTTTATTTAGAAAAACTACATAACCAATACATGCTCATAATTTTCATTGTTACAGAAGTGTTTACAAGTGAAAAATATATTCTCTTCATATTCGTTCTTGTTTAAATCACATAAGATTAATTCTTTTGCCACAGCAGTTGGAACATGCAGAATAGCTATAAATGCGAATGATTAACTTGTTTATTGTTTAATATGTTCACTCTAATATATAAATACACCATATAAATATTATATATAGGGTTTTCATTCCATATCAGATATGCAAGTAATTTTGAATTTAATCCTAATGAACATTATTGAAAATGTCTCCTGTGCATTCCTTGATGATTTTTGTCATAAAAATTAAAAAAAAATAAAAGACCATGAAATACCCTAGAAAGTACCTGGAGTACTCAGTCAATGTTTTTACTTGACAGACTAGGAGAGACATGGCAGTGTACCTTCTGAAGGGGACTTTAGCAAACAAGTTACCTGTACAGTATTTAAGCTTACCTCCTATTCATTATTATTATTATTATTATTATTATTATTATTATTATTATTTCAACCACTTGTCAGCTTACTAGCTGTTTAGCAGTTGATGTGTTCTTTGTTACTGTGTTATGATTTTTATTGTGCAGTGTTATTACAGGAGGAAACCAGAGTACCCAGGGGAATGAAAACAGGACACAGTAGTCAGAGATATGTGCATTATCATTGCACAGTACCTCTACTTCCATGGTCACTGTGCCAATGGAATACAGGCCAATGCCCTTCCCCTTTCAATCCAAGTCACAACACACATCATTCTTGATCATGCCACCCTTAGCTACTCCATGCAAGTTCCATTTAGTAAATCTCAAAACATGTTTGTAAACAAAAAAAAAACAGATTTCTTTGAATGTTCCTCAACATTTCTTTTCTGATGGGGTAAACTTCATCTTGAATTCGTTGTTTGAAGTGCTTCAAGTCTGTTATTTTCACCAAATATTGTAAACTTGTGATTTAAATACCTCCAGACAGCAAAATATTATGTCAGAATACAAGGTAAGTGATGTTAAAATACAGGTAATATGACCTGCAGTTAGGGTGGGAATATACTTGAGGTTCTAAAAACATTGTAGCACCTCACATAGTACCCTCGAGTTGTGTTCCATTTGTTATTACCAGTGGTGTTTGCTGTATCCTTGAACTGTATGGATGAGTAGTGATATGCGTCTGTTTCAAGACAAGTTTTACATAAAGAACCTCCCCAATCAGAATAAGAACACTGAGAATCATGCCCCCGGCCAGTAGGAGAAACACTGTGAATAAGCTCTTGAGTTCCATGGGGTCCGTGTGTAGCTGTTGACAGGTGGTGACTTGTGGCGTCCATTTCTCCTGCCACTTTCTCAGTATTCCTGCTGACTGCATCTCCATCAACCTAGACAATCACATACAAATATTTATAGGGCAAAAAATGTAGAAAAGAATAGATGAAATGTTTTAGATTACACAGTACAGTACATGAAACTTAACCTCACCTAGCAAGATGTGCTTGTTTATCTTGTTTACCTGTTATTCTCGTTAATTCAGTGCCTCTCATATTAATATCAAAGTGCAATATATAATGCATGAATACAGTATGTGCAAATCAAAGAAATTATAAACATTAGCATAATTACAAAAATGTACTTATGACGATATTCTTCATGTATTGTATATTGTCTGAAGATGAAACAAAAGGAATTCTAATGTTGTGCAACACAATGAATTCTGTGACTGGAGGTGGCTTACAATCTGTTGAGTACTGGAACAAGAGGAGATCCTTTTCTGATGATGAAGGAAGCCTGTGTTGGGAAGTAAGAAGAAGGGAGCATGAAGAGACGACAGTCGTGGCCGTAATTATAGAGGATGGGCACGTCCCACTCCATGAACACAAACGACTCGCTGATCACACGCTTCATCCCATCATCCAAACTCTCTACCATAGTCTCAAAGTTATCAGCCACAATGGACTGATATGTATTTTGGTAGACCAATGCTGGGGACTCCTAGAAAATTCATCCGCATTAAAAGTGTTAGTGATAGCATTAGTCATGTTCATTATCACTAACAGGATTCAAGAGCCCTGATGTCTGGGATATTAAAATCTGTATAATAATTTTTTACCATATCCGACTGATTAAACACATGGAGGTATTACAGATATACATACAAAAAATACATACTGACAGTGTGTAAAAAAGTCCAAGTGATCATGGATACAAACATGGCTTCCACTCACACTGGCATTGTGTCTCTTAGGTTGTGGAAATGGAATGAAAGAACTAACCCAAGAATGATATACAGTACAGTACAGTATTTACATAAACAGAGCTTACCTTGAAATATTCAGTGAGGGAGGAACCCTTTAGGTAGCCGAGATCAAGGGAGGGGTCCTGGTTGATGTCATCTAAGTTAGCAACGGTGGGAAGAGGTAGACCTGCAGCCAGGGCGGTGATAAGGTCGCTGGTGTAGTGAGCCAGTAACACTACGTGCAGCAAAAAGCACGTCACCCATACCAAACGCAAAGACGTCCACACTTGTCGCTCTGAAGTACCTGGCCATCACCCACCCCACCACACACTTGTTTTATTATTGTTATTATTTTTACATTATTATTATTATTATTAATATTATCAGCACATCTTGGAAAAGGATATAGTACTATATACTGCTATTTTTGTCCTCATTCAGTTGTCAATAGTCTTCAACACATTTTTTCTGGTCATAACTCTCATACAGTATTATCTTGGTAGTTTGATCAATTATCGAAATTATTTGTTTAACTAATTAAAGGTGGATTAAGCTGTATATATAATTACATCTCTTACATTGCGCATATAACTGAGCAGTTAAAATTAATCACGTTAAAGCTTATGCTCCCATTAAGTGCAGTTTCATGCTGCAGTTTTCTCTTTAATCATTAACAGAAAACCATAAATTTCTTTACCTGGCAGGTGTGTGTGAATAACTGATATGTGAACAGGTACTACCGGTATACAGTGTTCCAAAAACATTATCTTTAACAGCACTTGTAAGTTGGATTCATGTATATACAAGCATATTTAGTCAAATGGGCAAGGGGGGACCTAGTTGAGGTGTATAAGCATCTCGGGGGGCACTACTTAGTTGAGTGTCCTTACTTGGAGCTGGCGGACCCTCGCCCCACAAGGGGTCACAGCTCATGATTGAAGAAGCCGCAAGTCCAGAAAACTGTGAGGGCAAACTTTTTCGGAGTGAGAGTTGTAAACTCTTGGAACAATCTACCAGAAAGTGTTGTGACGGCACCGAGTGTGAGCTCTTTCAAGACAAGACTTGACCAACACTGGAGCAGGTTCAGGTACATTCAGGAGCCGGTGCATGCCCAGTACTTGCCAACAGTGAGTGACAGAGACGTGACCGATCGCCCGGGCGGCTAGCGAGCCGATGAGTGGTGAAGAGGATATAAGAAAAAGAAAATGCTACACATACCGTTTGTTCTTGGACCCCCCCCCCCCCGGTTCAATACTTCTGGATCTGCCCCTGGTTTTATTTAGGGAAAAAGAAGAAACATTTATTCTATAGCGTTTCTATCGGAAATTTATATTTTCGAGTATTTTAACTGATATGCCCCCCCCCTCACAATTACCAGCAATATTAGTTGTTCAAGGCGGGTAGGGCTTTGAAATAGAGGGAAAATATGGATTAAACACTGATTTTTTTATCCTAACCTATAAAAATCCGAAAACTATACAAAGCTTTTGTCTTCGGTGTTTGGCATGAGATGTTTTTTGATGTTCAGATGAGGAGTGATCCATAAACTCGAAAGTGATTCTTAACCTTTTTACAAATTAGGAAAAGTTAGGTAAGGTTTTTAAAAGTTTATTTGGTGTTATATTATTTTACCCCACATTTTCCCACTACTTCAAAGCCCTGGCTCACTTTGAACAACTACAATTTTGGGTAATTTTATCGGTTAAAATATTCGAAAAATATAAATTTCCGGCAGAAACGCTACATAATTAATTATTTTTAGTTTTTCTCTTTCTCCCCATATCAAACACAACATATAAGTACTGTAGGTTTTGGTAAATACGAAATATTTACCGCTAGCTGCAGAGTTGCCAACTTAGCGACTTTGTAGCTAGATCTAGAGCTTTTTGTTTTTTTCTAGCGACATTTTAGAGCGATTTGCGACTTGTCGCAAATCTAGAGATATCCACAGAAATCTAGCGACTTTCTGGATACTTTTGGACTGTCCATGAAAACTCAGTTTTCCTAATTTCGAGCCATAATATATAGCAACGGGATTACAGGGACAATAAATAATATGAAAAGTTTAATACATTTGAACGGGTCGTGGTACAGAAGGAGGGACACGTCTATTTCCTGATCACTTGATGTCAGCCCGTCCATGCATCTAACACCCTAAAATTGTGGTCAGAAGTGGCAAATTACAGAGATGCGACAGGTGAAAACCCTTACCATGATCTGGCTGAAATTGCACTCGCTGCCTTATCTCTTCCACATTCAAACGCAGATGTAGAACGCACATTTAGTAATATGAACTTTGAGAAATCAAAATTGCGCAACAAAATGAAACTATCGACATTAAAGGCAATTCTTACAATAAAGTATGGGTTAAAAAGACAGAACACCTGTTGTACAAGTTATGAACTTCCTAGTGATATTTTAAGAAAGATAGGGACTATGGAGGCATACAGTTACAAGAGAACCTGAACCAAGCACTTCACATGCTTCCAGCTCTACAGTTGTTCACACTGCCGACGACTACGAAGAGGACTGGGATGCAATTACTATTGAATCAGTGGCGGCTCGTGCATAGGGCTGCAGTCCCCCCAGACACTCACTGCCAGGCGTATGATTCCTTTAGAGAGACAGCTGAATAATACACTACCAACAAATATATCATTTTATGTTATTTAATTATTTTCAATACGTTGCTAAGTGAATTTTCATTAAAATCAGACCAAAATTTAAGTTACTTTCATAGTTGCTGTCAATGCTGTACGATTCATGTCTGTTATTAATTGGCGCCGCCGCCGCCGCACTTGAAGCAGCTCAGTCTCGTACAACGTGTGGACGGTGTGGTTAAATCGTGCTTTCTTTAATTACCCTTTGACGATGGAAAATCGAGTGAAGTATTTGCAAAACATCAACTTTTCCCAGCTGACATTAAATGAAAAGACTGAAATCAAAGCAAGAGGAAGACCTACACCAGTTTTATCCATTCAACAGAACAGTACAAGCAGGAACAAAGAATATACACGCCAGTTTAACATGAGTGTTTATGGCTCTGTGGTTGTGACGAGGCAAATACTTTATTCTGCTTATTGTGTGGTGGGGACTCGGCATGGACGAAAAGTGGTGTGACTGACTTGAGGCATTTGCCACAGAAAATAGTGAAACATGAGCAGTCAGCCAAACATATGTTGTGTGAGGCTTGCAGTCCCTCCATTTTATTTTTCACGAGCCGCCACTGTATTGAATAATAGGTAAGTGTGCACATTAATCTTAAAAAAAAATATATATTTTTATTTTTACATAATGCATTTTATTTATACTCCGTCCATTATAGTCGGCATTATGAAAATATTTGCATCAAATTACTGAAGGGGGGGAATAATAGCTAGCGACTTTTCATGGAAGATTTAGCGACATTTAGCTACTTTTAGGTACCAGCCTAGCGACATTTGAAAATCCGAGTTGGCAACGCTGGCTACCTGATGTAACCCAGCGTCTTCTTGTGACTTGTTTGGCGCGAAAGACGAAGGTGTTGTTCACAAGTGTTTCCCCCGTTTGCTGTTTGTTTCCTAAAATATTTCATAATTAACCGTACTAATAACCGTTCTCCCAAAACAGTTTCGATGCTGGTGATTGTGATTATGATATTAGCAGCATAAAAGTGACAAATGACCATTCGGTGCACTGAACTATCATCTGTTTACCTCTTCTGTTGCCTTGACTTAGGGGCCCCAGATACTGCATTACATTTCTGCAGTATACATTGACAACGAATACATAGCGGATTATATTTGGTAAGTGCATGTTTTGTTTTCCTATTTGCCAACAATGGTATCTATAACGCCTATAAGTAAAAGGTGACATTTTGCCCTTCCATAGACCGGAAGCCCAATTAGCGGGTTCGACTAATTACCCAAATGTACCCAAATGTAGCCAAATATAGCCGGAATGAAGTCAAATAATGGTCCTAGATGAATAAATCGGACTGCTAATCACTTCTCGACTAGTATTTGGTGTCATAAAGTAAAAAAAGACATTTTGCCCTTCCATAGACCGGAAGCCCAATTAGCGGGTTCGACTAATTACCCAAATGTACCCAAATGTAGCCAAATATAGCCGGAATGAAGTCAAATAATGGTCCTAGATGAATAAATCGGACTGCTAATCACTTCTCGACTAGTATTTGGTGTCATAAAGTAAAAAAAAATTGGTAAACTTAATTTAATCTGAGTTAATAGATCAAGTGCATGTACTAACCTAACCTAACCTCGACTAGTATTTGGTGTCACGAAGTCACAAAAATTGGTAAGCTTAATTTAATCTGAGTTAATAGATCAAGTGCATGTACCTAACCTAACACAACTCAGATTAAATTAAGTTTACCAATTTTTTGTGACTTTCTGACACCAAATACCAGTCGAGAAGTGATTCATCCGATTTATTCATCTAGGACCATTATTTGACTTCATTGCGGCTATATATGGCTACATTTGGGTACATTTGGGTAATTAGTCGGACCGCCAATTAGCGGCAGAGCAGATACATCACATCAAACTTTATAAGCCTTTGGTACACAAGGAGGTAGCGTGGTCGGCATTATACTCAACTACCAGTAATAATATACTCGATTTAGTTCTGTCGAGGTAGGGAACGAGCTTGCAAACAGCGATCACATCCTTTACACATCCAGCCCACAACATTCATTACAGTGGGAATCATACTGTGCGTTTGATATTACCAGAAAATTTTGATGACAGAATTAAAAATAGGAAAGAAAAGAATAAAGGATAGAAAGGATAATGTACGTATAATATATGAGTAGCAGGTGAGGTGGGGAAGTCATAAGGTTGTGAACTAACATGAGGGAGGTCACGGAGGGGTATTTTGACCATGAAGGAAAGTGCTTTACCCTGGCCCAGCAGACACCCAGTGAAAATGATGAGGGCGTCAGAGAGACGGAGTGAGCTGCCCCACCTTCTGGAGCAACACACCACCAAGATGTTAACCACTCCGGCCGCCACTATCACCATCGCCACCGCTGCCCACACCTCGGTCTGGAATTGCTTAGTGTACGCCGTCCACACGAAGTCACTTGCCGAGGGCCGCCGCATCACCAGTCTGTACCTGACCACAAGCAACCTCTTAATTGTGCGTGTCAAAATGTTTAATTTATTTCCCCTAAACTTACAACCCCTTATATTTAGTTGTCTTTGTTAAATTCACTAAACACCTTATTTATTCACCGTAATTTACATTTCCGATGGAAGTGACAACCATTCAGTGTGTATCGCTATTCTATTATATTCGTAGGTTGTGAATATTCAGCTACAGTAACAGGCAGTTTTTCGTATTATTAGGTTGTCTCAATATCAGTTATGGGTCCTCAAGTACTACTGTCTGCAATTCTGACGTGTTGCCCCGCCCGTGTCCAGCACTGCGTCAAACATCTATACAATTTTACAAAACTTCAGAGATAACACAGTTTGTGTTTAGTGTGAAGATTACATGTGGATTTTAATCAGTATCGCATATTTACGGTTTGGAAAGTGCCAGAGATGAGGCTGTGAAATGCTTTGTACTTTATTTCGAATTGTGAATCACCAAACTAATTAGTTTTAGAAATTAATATCGTGCTGTGTGCCTTGACGCCCAGCACTTATAGCAGATAAAAGCTTTTTTTTTAGCTGCAAAGAACAGTCCTATGAAAGCTATCGCTGTCTTCCTGACTGAACGTATGTAAAAACATTTCTCGCGTATTTCAGCGAGAATTGTACGCCTCGCGTACAATTATTGTAACAACAATAACAAAAGTAAATAATGATTATAAAACAATACTAAATTTTACATTTATTACTTAAAGTTTATTCACGTTATCATTATAATCTTGCATTAAATTAATGACTAAGGTGTAGTGCACAGCGCTGAGCACTTAAAATAAAAAAGCTGGAGACTTCTCAGAACATGGCTCTGTAACAGTGTAGGAACTCAGAATTGATTTTACCAACAAAAACTGCATAATCCAACACTTATTGTTGGCTCACGCACACGGTAAAGACACTAAACTTACTTAGAGTAGAGGAAGCCGACGAGGTAGTCAACTGCGGTGGTGCGCTTGAGAGTGATGTCAAGAGGCGCCACACCGATGTCAGCCTCCCCACGCACCACCTCCCCCACCATACCCGTCCACCTGTCTCCCACCTGTGACCCCCACCCACCGTCCTTCACCTGGTGGCACTGAGTCCTGTCATGAGAATAACTGTCAGTATGACCCTGATGTGTGCCATGGTCTTGTATCTTGTCTGGTGTCTGTCAGTGTTGTTGATGAAGGGATATATAGTAGCCAAACAGAGGGATATATTGTACAATGACAGGGAGGGGATATACAGTGTCCTAGCGGGGAGAAAGAGAGGACAGGCTATATACTTGTTATAGGATATATAGTACTTAGATGTCCTGGTGGAGGAATATACACAGTGGGTTGACGTACGTGAAGTTGGTGACCTCCTGTAACAAGTTGAACACGCTTCCCAAGATGCCGGTCACCAAGACGTTCCCGCCTGTTTGTTTCTCCAGTAGCGTCATGGGTGCAAACTGCGGCAGACAGACATAGACTTGCTGGGTGGGTATTGCTGGCTTGCAGGTAAATATTAGTACAAAGGCATGCGTGGTAGGTTAAGGTTCTAACGAGCTTAGGTAATGTCAGTACTGCTGTCAGTGTGGTGGCGCGGGGCTACTACCACACAACACAATTTATAGATAGTGATAGTTGTTCTTTGGTTCAGTATTTACAACCACACCAAATCTTCCGTCACAGTAAAACTACACAACTACGGCACTGTTCTGGGTTCAAGACTGTCGATTACCTAATATATTTAAGTAGCGATTACATAAATTGTAATTACATTGAGTCAGGTTAAATTCTTTAGTACAGACAAGGTCAAATTCAGCCAGGTAAAATATTGTTAGATGAAGACAAAAGATGCCTGAGAGACTATGAGACTGAATTTAACATTGAGTGTTTTCCTTCAGTCGATAGTAACGGCGGTAAGCTCGTTTGTGTCACCTCAATAGTGGTACAGCGGAGATGGAGGCCGGTGAGGTCATATCGAGTCAGGACCAGGTCAGTCCTCGGAGCTTCCAGGACACCATGGCGCATCACCACCTCTTTTTTGAGGCGCTGCTCTCTTTTCGTGCCAAAGGCTCCACCTGGTGTTGTGGCGCCACCAGGTGTTGTGGTTCCACCAGGTGTTGTGGTTGCACCTAGTGTTGTGGCTCCACCTGGTGCTGTGGCTCCACCTGGGCTAACTTGATCAGGTGTTGGTTGAGGTGGTCGTTTGGGAGGTGACCGATGATGAGTATTGTGGGTTGTGGTGAGCGTCCAACGGCCCACCTGCAACGTGCGGTGGGGCAGACTGTGGCCCACTTGGTAACACTCCCATAGTGTGGCCGCCCCTCCTTCACCAGACATTGTGGCCAACATCACCTGCACAACCACCAAGGACTCAATGATATTTTATATTAAAAATTATACGAATAACAATGTATTCGTTCATCACTGGCCAATTATAGCAACAGTGTGAGGTGTACAGAACTAGCGTGAATCAGAATGTAATGTGAAAGGATAATGATGCGATAATTCCTTTAAAAATCCCCAGTACCAATACAACTTATCACCAGTAACAACAGGCCTAAACCACACAATGACCGAATAATCCCGCTTTGCTAAGTCTTGTTCCATAGTTGATGTACTGCCATAAAACTGACCAACCATAAACTCAGTTGTTAGGTTGAGGAAGTTTGATTGTTTTCCAATAGTTTATGTAACTTATGGAGGCAATAACCCACCCATAGCCACTATATTATAGGAAACAACAAGTATATATCGAGTGTATAAGGAAAGTAGGAATCTATCATAGAGAACCAAATAGGAATAATATAAAATATTTTAATAAGACGCTAGTTTCTCATTTACGATCTATGATATTGACCGTAAATGATGGATAATCTGTTTTTCTTGTTATGAACCGTGAAGGGAAAAGTATACCAAAACAAAGAGGTAGTAATAATTCAACCTGAGATTAATTTATGTATTGGCTCACTAATCTCTCACGTTGTTTACTGTTTGTAACCCGCACCTCTCTAGCCTCGTGGGGTGTGTTGCTCTGGTGTACACTACTGGAGGCGAGGACAGAGTGTCGGTGTAAAGTATTTGGATTAGAATGGCGGTGAATACATACACTGTAGGTCTGTGTTGATTCAAGCGGGTGTAGTTGAGTGTGTGTGTATGTGTGTCGTAATTTGGTGAGTGATTTTGACTAGATTCTCTTTTACCCAGAGATATGCGGCGGCTGAGTGGATACAACACTCGCTTTCTGTTCTAAGGGTCACTGGTTCATGCATGGGACACGCTCATTTCATCTTGTTGTGAATGGGTACTTAACTTTACACCTGGGGAAGTGAAAGCAGTTGAGGTATGGGTGAATCGTGACGCTGTGTGAAAGTTTCGTTGAATACTTGAAATTTTCTCAAGTTACTGCCCGCCGCTGTTTGTCGTCCATTTTAAAGAACTGTGGATAATGTTAATGTATTTGTGTTTACATTGGTTCTGACACTTACTATGGCAGTGAAGTAAGAAGACTACATTATGTACACCTGATGATTTTACTTTAAACTATACGTCGTGACACACACACACACACACACACACACACACATAAAAGGTTCGATTAATAAACCGAACTGTGTGTGTTGACATCCTCCTTAGCATGTTAGGGGTGACCTCAACCAAACTAGTGTTCTGTTTCAAAGAGTCAGGTACAGTGTTTAAAATAATTTCTCTACCACAATGATAGTTTAGGGTTATGGGATGACTAAATAATGGCGCTTCCCTTAGACATGATCATCGACCAATATCTCTTTTAGGGAACAGTTTGTGGATATATTCTTGACCTGATATATTATGAAGAGGGGCACTATCCTCTTGGAACCAATAATATTCACATATACCAAGATCTTTTAACAATGCCAAATAACTTTTTCTTAGTGTCTGTCAATACGAGGCATGTAAGTATATCAATATGCTATAAAATTTTCCATCCCAGTACACTATCTTTATTCGAGGGCAGGGGGGGGGGGTATTCCCTGCCCACCTTAAGTAGTGGAATAATAGTTATTAGGAGACATTATTAGGTTCTGCCACATAAAACCTTTCATACACACACATAGATGATGTGTGCATTAGCCCATGTATCTATTATTTACATGAAAATAAACCAAAGGTCTTACTTTTGTAGTGCCAGCGTGTTTGTCATACCTGGTTATCGAGAGGGAAGTAGACCTGCGTTAGGAAGCTTGGTAGTTGGGCGTCACACAGCAACAACCACCTCATCCACGACTCTCTGCCTTGAAAGATCTGTAAGGAACATTTGCTGGACATGAGGACAATTAGATAATATATAAGTACATAAATATATTGTGTTTTATGGCGGTTGTATGAAGAGCCTCTCATATTTCTTGTTAATTTCAGTAACTCGCTTAATATAATTTTTTGTGGGGATTCTTTCCAGTTGTTGGCTTTCTATATCAGTGACATTTACTAGCATTTCCATCCCTTCAAGAACACAAAGAAAACACTCTTGGTCACACTGGACCTTTGAAAACAATAGTAGATCTGCCTGGGTGTGTAGAGGCTGGACCACCAAGCCGCTGGCATTGCTTGGTGGCAGCTGGTACTGCAGCTGGGCCTCACTGCTGCCTCCTGTGACCTTCCCCGAAGGTGAGTGCAGGGCGGCGCCGAGTAGCTCCTGAGGTCGTAACACAGACATGTAGCTAGTGTGGGAGGCCACCAGCTGCCTCACTACCTGCAGCACCCACCTGCTCCACACCAGGGGCTTTGTCCACTCTCCTTCACTCTCTGCATGGCAACAAAAAGTAATGATAATATTGTGAGACGTGATAATCAGGACAAACCGTTACATTGGAGTGTTAACACTAAACCGATTGTTATGCACAATTATGTGTTAGTTGTACAGTACAGTATATTAGCAACACGAGACTTCCTTATGTTTACTTCCAGTCACAGTGGGAGGTGTACCAACACTCACGAAGTTTTGAATCCTTAGGGAATTAACTGGAAACACAGATCATCATTGAGTACTTGCGTTAGTTTGTAGTGGATACTCTCCCCTACAACTGCCGACTGATGACCTACCGTTCGCTTACCAGCCATCAGCTTACAGGTAGTCCAGCCGCGATTCAAGGGATGGCGACATGTTAGGTAATGACGAAAAGGCCAGAAATAGGTCTTCAGCATTATAACCTCTTATTACTGTGCGGTAGACTGTACATGTAGAGAGGCAAGTGTGTTGGGGGGGGGGGACGCTGGTCAACCATTATGCAGTACACTACCGTAACCTAGCGTATATTTATTTAATAACAATCAAATCTCTCTACTTTGATAATTGAATCGATGATGTAGTTTAATTAAAGGTTCTTGTAGATTTAATACCGTGCCTCTGATGTACTTACTGTACGTTGAGCATGTCGCGAGGCTAGATTCTTAGCTAACGCTCTTTAAATAGTTAGACAGTAAAAAACGATGTCTGTCTAATTTGTTCATGTTCGTGTTTTATCTTAGCTTGTAAGATAGGCAGAGAGGCGAAAAGAGAAATATTTATATGTCCAAACTTGTATCATCTTAACTTACTCCTGCGTGTGTGTGTGTGTGTGTATTATTCACGTATATAACCCCCCCCCCCCACTTCGGCTTACCACGCACCATGGGATGAATTATCTATTGGACACTTGGGGTTATGGCACAACAATAATGGAATACTGTATTACATGTTCTCATAACTAAATAACAATGGCTGTCATGAAGGAACAGAAAGAAAAGGTATAATTACTCCTCTAGCTAATTTCACCCTTACGTTATCTAGGGGCGGGGGGAGATAGGTTAGGTTAGGTTAGGGTGGTGAAATAAAGTTGTATTGTTACTCTGAGGTGATATACTGGAGTCCGTTATTGGATATGTTAAATGAGGCAACTTTTCTATTCTTTTTTTTGCTTGTTCACTGACTCACTCACTCACTGACCGAGAATGACCTGTTTATTTCCAGTTTTGAAGATTAAACAGAATTCAAGTAAACTAGATATGAAGGAAAGATTTCGAGGAACATTATTAAACGATACATATAGAGTTTAAGTATGATAGTAGTGAATTAAGTTGACTTCTGTTGTTACTAAGTATGTGGGTAGCCGGGATTGTAGTGTCAATATAACGTTAGTATCTAATGAGTCACTTTTGTCAGAGCGCGTTTGGCAATATTGGAGTTAATGATCAGTGTATTGTCATAATTAATTACTTTCCTGGAAGACATTGCCAAGACATCTTTCAGTAAGATCGTGGTGGAAGTTTATATATTGTCTTAGCATAAGTTGGTGTTGTAGATGTTTTTATTGTAGTTGTGTTGTGGTTGATGTAGTTGTTGTTATTAGTGTAGTTGTACTTGTTGTAGTTGTGACTTCATATAAAGTGTCCATGTATTAATATATCACATCAACACCGTTACACAAAAGATTTACTTGGGTTACATCTCTCCATCTGGCACTGACACGGGTGATAGGTACCTTTTTGAGCTCCGAAGCTGAAATTTTGTACACTGTTTCCTTCATAACCGTGTCCAGGTGTGGTTTGAGGTGTGGGGTAGTTTATTTGTTGTATTTGATGTATTTGTTCTCCAACTAACCTCCGTCAATGATGTAGACATGCTTGATGTTGTAGAACTGGATAAAATCAGCGATGAGTCTGGCTTGGGTGTCAGTTGAGGACTCCGCCGTGGTTAGTGTCTGGGTGGTGAGCACTAACACCACCACCACCACCACCACCATACTGTGTACTATTTGGCCTTTCATTTTCTTCCATATATATATATATATATATATATATATATATATATATATATATAGATTTTTTTTTTTTTTTTGTTCAGTTATACACAGTTGGAAGGAACAGTCACTAGTGTACCGTAGTCGGGCAGTAACCAAAGACACGTGTGCTCACCGCGGCTGTAGCACAATCAATGATGGCTGATGGATGTCATGCGCTCCCTTACGTCCGCTTACACTTACTTACGTTTACTTATTTACCCTAAAGGGAATTGCCTCTACCGACGAGCTTTACCTAATGGTTTTTATCCACTTGTGGCCGCTGCTACACACACACTAAATGCAGCTGTTATTTATGTAAGGTTAGTAGTTAACTGACATTACTTCTCGGAACTTAAGTACTTTTATTTTTATTAAATTTTAAGTGTTAAAACATTGCTCTTAGGTGAATATCTTTTATAGATCTAATGATATTGCTTGACATTCGAAAACTCACAGAATTTTAACTTAAAAAATGTTTTCTTATAATCACAGCCTTGGTCTGTGGACACGACACATGGGTAAAGCTCCCTCCCATTGTGGTGTTGTAGCTAGTGACGGCATATGTTTTGTTGTAAAGTTTCTAAGTTCCTCTGATTTGGTCTTATTTATATCATTATTATCATCTACAAATAAAGTAAAACTGTAAAAATATGTTTCGTGGCATTTTTATGGCAATAATAAGGTCACGTGTATAGAAAATAACCCGCGGAAAATGTTTGTTTATTGAATGTTTTTCTCCACCGAGGAAGACACGTGGATGATCACTGCAGCGTCAGAGATCACCCACAGTTAGACAATACAAAAAGACACAGTAATTGACTCAATAAATAATTATAACACTTCAATAACAATATTAACGAAGATATTGACTTTTATCTTGACCAGCAAGTAGACGCAAATGTTTCATATATTAGGCATTGATCGAGGGTCAGTCGACTGTCCAGGAACGGTTTGTGTGTCATTTGCTCCTTAACCGGACGAGAGGCTCGGAGCTAGTCCATCCTGCTCACGGCACCAGGGAGAGGCAGGGTCTTACGTGCTGGTTACAGCGCTTTGCTCCTGTTGGGAGGCAGGAGGGGCGTCAGTGAAGAAGGAATAGGGACACGCCTGGTGGTACTGGAGGCACCTCCCCTCAGTCTGGCCTCGCTGTTCCGCCTCAGTGTACTCCTGGAGGCGCCTCGCTGCCTGGGGCGACCTGCTGGGACTGTGGACAACAACACTCAGTCTTACTGCCTTCACACCCACCACTACACCTTTAGCAGTCACTATACTGTATATGGAAGTACATAAAATCTTTCAAACTTGTTTCACTCTTACCGTCTCCCTCAACTTACTTAACCCCCAGTTACTCCAAGCTGAGGTTTAGCTCTACTGAACGCTCACCTGAGGAATAACTCGAAAACTTCACCAAAGAAGCCGTAGTTCTGGAGTTCGATGTCATACATCTCACAGATGGCACGCAGGAGGCACGCCTTGCCGTCCATACCCACTGACTGTAAGGTGTCCTCCACCACCTTGTACAGCACCTCCCTGGGACACAGTGCACGGGTAGTTAATGTACTGCATATTGTCTATATGATGGTACACTAACATGACCAAGTTATGACACAAAACATAATATAATGTACTGTACTATACTGCGTCTACAGTATGCGTGCATCACTATCCTCTTCTATATCAACAATATCTCGTATATAGACGCCGTAATCGCTTCGCCTTTACCCTCCTCCTATCCCTTCCAAATCTTTCCTCTGTCTCCACATGTTCCCTCTATCTTATTCCCTATTATGACCTCGTCATCTTCCTTCACCACGTATAGTACCTGTCACCACCAGCCAGGTCACCGCGCTTCGGGGCTTCGCGTTTCGTCCTCAGAAGGCCCCAGGTGTTGTCCTCGGAGGTCATGCCCAGGTCATCAAAGGCAACTGTAACATCAACAGAAGGTGAGAAACTCGCCAAATACCTTAATGATACACACCTGAGTTACTCTCTCTCCTTGACACTTATCATACACAAGTCACAGTGACTTACTAATATTGTTTTTGTCTTATTCTCACTGCTACAAAAGTTTCCAATAATAACGGTAGATACTCTGATAATCTTTCTCACCTGCGAAGGGAAAAGGGGCGAAGTATATACTCACTCCTGAAGGGGTAAGAGATGGTGACCGATGACCCGTAGCCGATGGGGAGATCACGGCCCATTGGGAGGCTGAGAGTGGGTGTGAGGACCAACAGGCTTGATGGCGGCATCTTCAGCCGTTTTTGAGGCGTCAGGTAGAGAAAGCCTTGCTGATAGCCGCCGGTGGTGCTGTGGGGGCGAAGCCTTTGTTTACATTCTAATGCTCAGAACATTAATTTATTCCTTTATAACAAACTTAAGTTTTCTGTTGGTGTGGTATGTTTTATTGATGGATGCTGTGTGTTGTGGTGGAGTTCATTAAGGTGTAACACTGGCTTATGGTTGTTGTTCTTTAGTGTTACCAGGACGTAACACTTACTTGGTGCTTGGTAGAGTGTTGGAGAGGTTCACCATCGTCATCACCAGCAGCACCACGGTCACCAAGCAGCTGCGGAAACTCGTCATCTTGGTGAGGAGTAAATAATGTTTTGTTTAAATGACAATTTTTTGGATAACTTTATTGTCAGGTCGTATACTGAGGGAGGCAATTACTTATAATTTCTACACAGACAGTGAAATGTTTCTGACTCGTGATGAAGGTCAGCGACTTAATATATAATATACGACTATATCTTCATTAATAATACAGTATACATGTTTGGTATATGTTTTCTTATATATAGTGATAATGGTGGCTGACTGTTGGGCTACAAGAGAGAAAGGTTGAGTACCCCGCCACAGGTCAGTGTAAACAGTGTGCTTGAGAGGTGGTGGTGGTGTTCACGTCTGTTGGAGAGTCAATGGTTGACTGCAGCTCTCGCCCGCCTTATATACCCCGACCTTACCTGCCCTCCCGCATCACCCAACACGTTTTAGGGACGTACATAGTGTGCGTATACACACGAATACACACACAGTGCCATAAAGAAAGTTAGATTCGTCAGACACAGGGACTCCAATGTAGGTCAGATATTATAAATGTTTTGAGATGAACACTTTTATAATGTATTGAGCGAGTGATAACTACACCAGACTGTTGCGGCTTCCTGATGATGGTGAACAACTGTATAAGACTCATGCAGAGATTTTATACAATACAAAGTGTGTGCAGTATTTGTTTATGTACGTTCATATACGGTTCAATATTGTTGTTAATGTGAATCACGTAGTTAATACATATGTAGCTATAAAGTGTCACCTTCATCCTTTAACATTGTTTTATTGCAAATTTTATGAAATTCTCCTGTCAATATATCCATGTTTCCCTGAGAGCAGTCCCTGTCCCACAGTGGTCCTGTAGCAGCTGGTCCTCATTAGTGTGTGTATGTGACAAGGTTAAGGAGTATATATGTACAGTTATCCTCATGATAACGTCACACTTCCCTTACAGTGATCTCTGTATTTGTACTTATATGTTCTATGACATGTGTCCGTATTGTACAGATCTTTTGTTTAAGGATTTTAATATATGTGTTTGTTACTCTTTAATGATAATGTAAATGGAGAATGTGTTAGCGAGAAAATATGAAATACAGAGCAACGAGGAAAATATGTTGGACAAGGAAACGTGACTAAAGTAGAAAGATAGTGAAGACTGAAGTGGCAAGGAAGAGAAGAGGAAAGTGCTGGTGGAGGACGGTCGTCTCATGGAACGTAAACATTCTATTTGACAGCACCATCGTCAGGATGAAGGACGCCTACCTACCTGCCCCAGCCCAGGTGTGTCAGGGCACTACCGATGAAAGTAATACCACGAACCAACGCACTAAAGTGACCCTCGTAATGTTTCGCATTGTTGCATGTCTTAGGAAAACTTTATCTATAGCGATACAGGGTGGCGCATAAGTCGCTTTACCGAGAACGCCACAATAATAGGAATGTTCTCGGTGAAGCGACTTATGCGCCACCCTGTATAAGGTTAAACTAGTATAGTTGATAAGGAAGGAACCCTCCTAATAAATGGAAAAGAAAAAGGTTGGTTTTGGCGAAATGTCTTGTTTGGAGGGTGTGGCTGTAGGAACTGGGGGGGATGGGAGGGCAGGGAGGGAGGGAGGGGGTATAGTTCGCCCGTCACGTCACCTCTGGTTTACAGCCTGCATAGGTGGTTGTGTTGCTATCCAGGCGCTGTTACGGTCTCGCTACTGTTTTTTTTTCTTCCCTTGAGATAATGGAAGCTACCTGAACCTCTATAGTGGAACCGACAACGACGCAGTCCTAGGCACCGACGGGGGGTCAATAGCTTATCACACACTAGGAAAACTTTACCAGAGCTCCTCAACCACAACAACTTAATACATGATTCATACGTCACTTTATCTCTTTCACGTTATTATCGATCACTTTTGGAACCAATATGAAAAAGAGGTTAAGTTAGCATTAGGTTATATTAGCTTTAGGATAGGTCAGGTTGGGTTAAGGTTAGGTTAAGTTAAGTTAGCATTATGATAGGATAGGTTAGGTTAGGTTAGCATTAGGATATGATAGGTCAAGTTAGATTAAGTTGGCATTAGGATAGGTCAGGTTAGGTTAAGTTAGCATTAGGATAGGATAAGTTAAGTTAGTATTAAGATTGGTCAGGTTCGGTTAGGTTAAACCATAATAGGATAGGGCAGGTTAGGTTAAGATAGCATTTGGATAGGTTAGGTCAGGTTAGGTTATGTGGTTAATTATCAGGTGATCGGAGAGACAAATCAAGTAAAGTCAATAAACTTGTCGCCAGTCAGATTCTCGCTGGCTTTCTCGGCTTTCTCTCCTTCCAGGTACTATCAAGATCTGCTCTCACAACACACCTGAGATGGATAAACGCTAAGATTTTCAGATTCAGATCAGTTTTTACTCTATACGAATCGCCTCAAGATTAAGCACCCCAATTTATTTCACCTGATGATTCAACATCCTTAATGCTTACCCTGCCCAGCCCAGCCCAGCCCAGCCCAGCCCAGCCCAGCCCTGCCCAGCCCAGCCCAGCCCAGCCCTGCCCTGCCCTGCCCTGCCCAGCCCTGCCCAGCCCTGCCCTGCCCAGGTAGTATTAGGGTATTTAAATCAAGAGGTGAAATATTCAAGGGGGACTAATCTTCATGTGATTCTTCTGAGTAAATTGTAAGACAAATTTATTAAAAAAACAGACATTAATTTCATCTAAAATAACATATGACAGTGGAGACTATGTGTGGACGGAACCACTTTATACTGGCCGCATTTGTGTTTCTACTGACAACTGACCATGATGTAATACCTATATAGTGTATGTACAGTATACCTACATTGTCTATATACAGTATATGTTGAACTGGTATATGGAAATAAGTTTTTTGAGGTAATTAATCAAGAAGGTAAAGCTTTCACCTTGGTCATGTCTTCCCAAAATCATTTCACGTTAACTCTGGTCGATACATACACACACACACAGACACACGCACAGACATACATACACACACGCACATACATACATACACACACGCACACACATACAGACATACACATACAGACATATACACATACAGACATACTCACAGACATACATAAGAATAGAGGAAACTGCAGCGGGCCTATTGGCCCATACTGGGCTGTCCCATTTACACCCAACTCTTATCGCTCATAAATCCATCCAACCTATGTTTGAAGCTATCCAGCGTATTCAAGCTAATGATGCTGTTTGGTAACTTGTTCCACTCGTCTATTACTCTATTTCCAAACCAGTGTTTACCTACCTCGCGCCTAAATCTAAATTTGTCTAATTTAAAACCATTGTTACATGCATATTACTATGTGACACTGGGAGGAGACGAGCTATGGCTTTGTAAATCCTGGAGATAAATAAGATGGAAAATTTGATTGTTTTACTGACCTACATAGGATGAATCATACGGGTTGAAAAGAAAGTTGAGGCTTTCTATGTGAAATTTGAAATTTTTCGTTCGTACGTGTGTGTGTGTGTGTGTGTGTGTGTGTGTGTGTGTGTGTGTGGGGTGGCTTTAAAGGTTGGGTGATGCGGGAGGGCAGGTAAGGTCGGGGTATATAAGGCGGGCGAGAGCTGCAGTCAACCATTGACTCTCCAACAGACGTGAACACCACCACCACCTCTCAAGCACACTGTTTACACTGACCTGTGGCGGGGTACTCAACCTTTCTCTCTTGTAGCCCAACAGTCAGCCACCATTATCACTATATATAAGAAAACATATACCAAACATGTATACTGTATTATTAATGAAGATATAGTCGTATATTATATATTAAGTCGCTGACCTTCATCACGAGTCAGAAACATTTCACTGTCTGTGTAGAAATTATAAGTAATTGCCTCCCTCAGTATACGACCTGACAATAAAGTTATCCAAAAAATTGTCATTTAAACAAAACATTATTTACTCCTCACCAAGATGACGAGTTTCCGCAGCTGCTTGGTGACCGTGGTGCTGCTGGTGATGACGATGGTGAACCTCTCCAACACTCTACCAAGCACCAAGTAAGTGTTACGTCCTGGTAACACTAAAGAACAACAACCATAAGCCAGTGTTACACCTTAATGAACTCCACCACAACACACAGCATCCATCAATAAAACATACCACACCAACAGAAAACTTAAGTTTGTTATAAAGGAATAAATTAATGTTCTGAGCATTAGAATGTAAACAAAGGCTTCGCCCCCACAGCACCACCGGCGGCTACCAGCAAGGCTTTCTCTACCTGACGCCTCAAAAACGGCTGAAGATGCCGCCATCAAGCCTGTTGGTCCTCACACCCACTCTCAGCCTCCCAATGGGCCGTGATCTCCCCATCGGCTACGGGTCATCGGTCACCATCTCTTACCCCTTCAGGAGTGAGTATATACTTCGCCCCTTTTCCCTTCGCAGGTGAGAAAGATTATCAGAGTATCTACCGTTATTATTGGAAACTTTTGTAGCAGTGAGAATAAGACAAAAACAATATTAGTAAGTCACTGTGACTTGTGTATGATAAGTGTCAAGGAGAGAGAGTAACTCAGGTGTGTATCATTAAGGTATTTGGCGAGTTTCTCACCTTCTGTTGATGTTACAGTTGCCTTTGATGACCTGGGCATGACCTCCGAGGACAACACCTGGGGCCTTCTGAGGACGAAACGCGAAGCCCCGAAGCGCGGTGACCTGGCTGGTGGTGACAGGTACTATACGTGGTGAAGGAAGATGACGAGGTCATAATAGGGAATAAGATAGAGGGAACATGTGGAGACAGAGGAAAGATTTGGAAGGGATAGGAGGAGGGTAAAGGCGAAGTGATTACGGCGTCTATATACGAGATATTGTTGATATAGAAGAGGATAGTGATGCACGCATACTGTAGACGCAGTATAGTACAGTACATTATATTATGTTTTGTGTCATAACTTGGTCATGTTAGTGTACCATCATATAGACAATATGCAGTACATTAACTACCCGTGCACTGTGTCCCAGGGAGGTGCTGTACAAGGTGGTGGAGGACACCTTACAGTCAGTGGGTATGGACGGCAAGGCGTGCCTCCTGCGTGCCATCTGTGAGATGTATGACATCGAACTCCAGAACTACGGCTTCTTTGGTGAAGTTTTCGAGTTATTCCTCAGGTGAGCGTTCAGTAGATCTAAACCTCAGCTTGGAGTAACTGGGGGTTAAGTAAGTTGAGGGAGACGGTAAGAGTGAAACAAGTTTGAAAGATTTTATGTACTTCCATATACAGTATAGTGACTGCTAAAGGTGTAGTGGTGGGTGTGAAGGCAGTAAGACTGAGTGTTGTTGTCCACAGTCCCAGCAGGTCGCCCCAGGCAGCGAGGCGCCTCCAGGAGTACACTGAGGCGGAACAGCGAGGCCAGACTGAGGGGAGGTGCCTCCAGTACCACCAGGCGTGTCCCTATTCCTTCTTCACTGACGCCCCTCCTGCCTCCCAACAGGAGCAAAGCGCTGTAACCAGCACATAAAACCCTGCCCCTCCCTGGTCGTCAAAGAATGCCACTGTTGTCTAAACTCTCTATGGTGGTCAGTTCTGCATCATCCTTAACCTAACCAGTCCCTGATTATGTGTTAATTCGTAGCCAGTGTTGTTCATCACCCCAGGCCCGTACTAGCCATAATCGGGACCCTCAAATTCCTGTACACACTAAACATTGTTACTGGTATCATTGTCACACTGTTACCTTAGCCAGTTTTGTTATTATTTTTGTAGTGCCATTTTTATTGTGCCATACATTGTATTTATGTCAGTACATATTACTGTTGATACTGAATGTTATCACCTGGATGATGATCACTGAATAAATATTGATGTCTTTTTAGATTATTATTTTTTTGTCGTGTAGAGAATGTGGAAACTTTAACCTTTTCTTAACACTCACATATATATACAGTACCGGTATACTGTATATTGTTTACGATAAGGCAAGGTAACTGTAATCTGCTCTTACCTGTTCATTTATTACCCAATTTTAAACAACACGAGATATAGTTTACATCTGTAACACTGATACCGACATAGTAAACCCTCCCAATACCGGACTAATTCTTGCAAGCCCTGTCGACATAGGGAGGATTCTGTTAATGAGAATATCCAGTAATGAGAGGTCTGATATTGAGAGGGTTTACTGTATCCATTACTTTATGGAGAAGTCCGTTATTGAAAGGGTTTAGTGTACCCATTACTTTATTGTAAAGTCCGTTATTGAGACGCTTTACTGTATCCATTACTTTATGGAGAAGTCCGTTATTGAAAGGGTTTACTGTATCTATGACTATTGAGAAGTCCGTTATTGAGAGGGTTTAGTGTACCCATTACTTTATTGTAAAGTCCGTTATTGAGACGGTTTACTGTATCCGTTACTTTATTGTGAAGTGCGTTATTGAGAGGGTTTAGTGTACCCATTACTTTATTGTGAAGTCCGTTATTGAGAGGGTTTACTGTGTCCGTTATTGAGAGGGTTTAGTGTACCCATTACTTTATTGTAAAGTCCGTTATTGAGACGGTTTACTGTATCCGTTACTTTATTGTGAAGTGCGTTATTGAGAGGGTTTACTGTATCCGTTACTTTATTGTGAAGTCCGTTATTGAGAGGGTTTAGTGTACCCATTACTTTATTGTGAAGTCCGTTATTGAGAGGGTTTACTGTATCCGTTACTTTATTGTGAAGTCCGTTATTGAGAGGGTTTAGTGTACCCATTACTTTATTGTAAAGTCCGTTATTGAGACGGTTTACTGTATCCGTTACTTTGTGAAGTGCGTTATTGAGAGGGTTTAGTGTACCCATTACTTTATTGTGAAGTCCGTTATTGAGAGGGTTTACTGTATCCGTTACTTTATTGAGAAGTCCGTTGGTCATGGTAGAATGTATTGACCAATTATAATTTATTGATAAGGATTAAAGTGATTTTTTTACATATTTTTATTCATTTATCAAAACACACCTTATGTAAGTCTTAATATCTGAAAAAAAAGAAAATCTTTAGCTAACTCCAATCTTGGTAGAGAGAGAGAGAGAGAGAGAGAGAGGTGTGTGTGTGTGAACTTGAACCACTTTCTACCCCCGTCGGCCAACGCAACAACACTTACTAACTTCACCACACACACACGCACGCTCTCTCTCTCTCTCTCGTAATAGGAGGAAACAGAAAGTCGAGAGTTAGTGAGAGTTGAGATTTCAAACTGGTTTTAGTAGACGGGGTCAACAAGCGACACGTGTAGGGTTCACTGGTCTGTCCACCCCCTCCCCTACCCCCACACCACCATACGTCGGGGGGTCACGACTTTCGAAGATGCATAAATTGGTGATGCGAGAAAGTATCTGACTGGTCCGCTCTAAGATATGATGGTCAGTTGATGAAGATGGGTACCTCTCAGGTACAAATCACTGGCTCGGGTCTCATGTGAGAAGCGTGTTATCCCGGGTGGGTTCGGTTAGGTTAGGTTCACTCTCTTGAATAACTGTAAATTTCAAATATTTTTTCTTTTAGGTTAATTGTCTTAAAAAAAAGGTCTTCGCTAACTGCATTTGTGTGGGAGTAATAACCGTTAATTGCCGTGTTTTGTTATTTGGATGTTCTAGTTGGTGTAATTAATATTCAGTTTCTTTTTTCAGCCAGTTAACAGTTGAGGAAAGAAGAGAGCTTTGGGTGGGAATGACATCACAGTGCAGGAAGACCGGGACCAACAAACAAATTAAAGAGTTGCTGGTCATTTCTCTATTCATAGTAAGTGAGTCTTGGTTATCATAGAAAACCTTTACTTTACTGATGACAGAAAACGAAGTTATGACTAACTATAATGTTTTAGTGGATGCTCCTATGGGGAGTTATTGTTTTTATATTGTCTGTGCAAATTTTAAACATACCCAAAAGCTGCTTCATAATTTATAAAAAAAAAGTAAAATTCCCTTTTAAGTTTGATTGCGTAAGGTCATTTCGGTGTCATTTATGGTTCCAGGGATTTACACCAGTCACCCATCCTTCCCACTTTCCTGTTTTTTCCTCATATTTAACTAGTACGATATATCTGTATATATCATGTTTACCTTGCTACGAGTATAGGCGGTATGTAACTGTGATACACAGGAACTGGTCAATGTTATGCCGTCAGTATGACATGAAGGTAGCATATTAAACCTGCCGGCAGACATTACCTTCAATCGTATCGTATATATGTAAATAAAACATTAAATTAGCAATATACACACAGTATTAACTTACATAACATTTACATCACAGTATTATATGAACCATCATGCAGACATGGAAATTATCCTGCGGTAACAAGCAAGGGCGATCAACACTGCACGAACAACTACAGGTCGGTGAATGTGAGCAGCAGTAGTGCTGGGGAGTGTAATACGAGCTGTCATCATGGACCTTCAACGGAACAGCCTCGTGGTTGAATGGCAGCGCCGCTTTATTGTCGGACGCTCCTGCTTGACGTAATTGCTTAAGCATTAAGATGTTGGACGTGTAGACACAGATCCAGGAGTGTGGTGGCTGTGTAGACTTCGCGTACCTCATGTAAAGCAGAAAATTAACTATGAATGGGCATAGAATTCGGGGGTACATCCTGGTGTGAACTGCAGACTTTCTTTATGACAGTATGCAGTGTGTGGTGATTAAGGGCACAAAATAGTCTTGTGTGAAAAGGGCCTCCTGGGTGTGCATGTTGACAACGACCTGAAGTTCTCGGGCCATTGTGAGAAGGTGCTCGGCAACCACCCAGTTCCTAACACCTAGGATATTCCCTAATTGGAAATGTCACTGGTTCAGAGACTTTAAGACGTTAATGAGACAGAATGTAGCTCATTAATGTCCCGTTTTAGGAGCACCACCTTAATTTGATTTTTTTTCTAAATGATGCGTTTTCACTAGAGGCGGTTTTTATCTATTTTTGTTTTATTTTATTATCATTTTACTTCTCTTGTTCCTCACGATGCGTACAATATTTTCACCTCTATAAACCACTGAGCTTTATTTATCTCGGGGACCTTTCCTTACCAGGCATAGATAGTTTAGTGATGCTTCATTGTAATTAGCTGACACTATAAAGGCAGGCAGTGGTGACGGAGGAAGATTTGAGAGTGACATCGGGGAGAGGGAAGAGAACAAGAGTAATTGATGTCGATTAAAGAACAAATGAATTCCGTGTATAAATTGGAAGAAAGTCAGTGACGTGCGTAGAGTGAATAACAAAAGAATGGCGTATAGAAAGTGGAAGGCAGTCAGAGTAAAGGTGGATGATGAAAACTTTTGTATTCGTGGAAGTTGACCTGACATTATGTTGTACACACTACGTTACGTTAAATTAGCTGAACAAATCATGACAAAATTTACCAACATAACCCTCCTGGATATAAACAAATAGCCTGAGGTCGTCTTGGCTCTGAACGGTAAACGATACGTCAGCCAAGTTAAAATAATTCTTTTAGACTGAATGGAGCTCCCAAAGTTGTCGGGTGAATTTGCTGCAATAAGCACAGTAAATTGTTGCTAACTTAACTCATTCTGGGGATTTATATATTTTCCTGCACGTAAGCGAGTGACTTACCTTTTTTGAAGTGCCTGAGGAGTTTGAGTTTCAGTCTATCACAAAGCGCTTATTAAGCTGATGTAAGTTTGCAGTGATAACAGTGATGGTGTAAAAAACCACACACACACACAGACACACACACACAGACACACACAACACACACAACACACACACACACACACAGACACACAGACACACACAACACACACACACACACACATATATATATATATATATATATATATATATATATATATATATATATATATATATATATATATATATATATATATATATATATATATATATATAAACCCTTTGAAATTCTTTTTGTCAAATTTCGAGAGTAACAAGATTAATATTGTGTGAAATTTTTCCCAGAAACCAATTTTTCCCTGGGAGTTGATTGCCTGCGCCATATTGGATCCAAAATTGCTACACAGTTTGAAGAAAACCTGAAAATTGAAAATTAAATTAAAAGAAAATTGAATTAATATATAAAAGCTTGTCCACATTTAATATATAACTTTTTAAATCAAGTTTACATTGACGTGAGATCATCCGGGGATCTTTTTAAGTCCTCCAAATATCACCGCCTTAAATTCCACCGAGAACAAACATAACTACAGTACCAGCCGCCCTTTACCGCTGCAGCTCACTACTTTACCACACCTATCATCAATAGCTAGATACAGTATATTACTTTAGGAAGATGAGTTTTAGTTCTACACGACGCATAAAGCATTGTTTCGTATATAAATTAGTCTAATACATCATTATACACCTGGAACACCTTGACCACATCCCAGCAGTAGATAACAATAACATTCCAGGGGTTAAGTTGTCGTACTCAACTAATTAAGTCGTCGTATTCAAGGGGTTAAGTCGTCGTACTCAAGGGGTTAAGTCGTCGTATTCAAGGGGTTAAGTCGTCGTACTCAACTAATTAAGTCGTCGTATTCAAGGGGTTAAGTCGTCGTACTCAAGGGGTTAAGTCGTCGTATTCAAGGGGTTAAGTCGTCGTACTCAAGGGGTTAACAGGTGTTATTTTCTCGCCTTATCTGGCCCTGAGGAGACAGATAATTGGCTGGTTGATTCTCCAATTAGCGATCAGTCTTTTACTTCCGAGACTCTGATTGGCTCTTTGATCTCGCCTGCCAACAAGGAATTTCTTGAACTGTGAACCTGATAAGGAATAAGACTTAAAATATGCCTTCATTTTCTGAGAGGGATAATATATATATTCTTTGTCGAGCTAAATTAACTTGATATTTGGTGAAT